GATAACTTGAAGTTTGCTGCTTTAATAACTTGCTTCTCGAGGTAATTTTTCCCCTGGGTGTAGAATATCGTGTCTATCCCATGTGAACCGAGACTACTTCCTCTACCCTTTCGAGCATCAACTTTCAAATAAGAGTTCCAAAAATTCGGAATAAAGATTCAGGATGGGCGTTTAAAAAGACACTCGAGCAAATATGTCTCACCTATGACTCTTCTGTACATTTAGCCATATCGACCTGAGGTTCTTGACTTTTGAGAATAAACGAAGCACTAACGAGTTGTGACCGCTGCCCGTCCCGTTAGCGCTTTGTTTTCCGTGCTAACTATTTTTGCGAAAAACTAAGCAGCAGTAGCAATAATATGAAAGGAAAAAACGGAAAGGAAACTCATCACTCGAGGTCTCATGATCCGACCAGGTCAACACGGCAGAACTCATTAGTTGAAGATTCCGATGTTCGTGCTGCGTTCCGGATGGAACGAATTCGTGATTGGATTATAAAATGTTATGAATTCAGCGAACCAAAAATGGGATGACACTATACAGCAAGTCCGAGCTAATGGTTCCGTTTGTGTTCACTTATGTGAATAACTGCGATCCGAGTTCAACAATACGCGTCCATGCCGAGTACACTGAGGAAAGGTACGCGAATAAAGCCGTCGAGCGGTGTCCAAATCATCAGTACAAAGATAGTAAGTTTATATATTCTGCCAAGTAGTATTTACTTGCATTTCAATGATGGACCTTGGACATGTCTGAAAATGTACAGCACTTGCAGCGAGTGCAGATGTTCGCCAGCACTTTGTACGATGCGAGCATGCAAGGACAACCTATGTTGACAAGGACGGCAGCTATTATGTACGAATTCCGATGTGCGACTCAACTGGCTTCGCCTTTACATGCTTCAGCTCGTGTTCGGGTGGAATTAATCGGCGTCCGCTTCAGCTAGTGTTCACGCTGGAAACAGCGTGAGTGATTTTTTCTTTGCAGTAATTTACAAATTTGAATATAAAAGAAAAAAACGGTTAAAAGGGCTCTACGCCGTTGTAATCGAGCTGTCTCAACCATTCGACCATGACTTGCTGAAAGTGCAGATATCAATGTGTTTGACATGGTAACTATACTCCCTTTCAAAAAACGAGAAGAGCGTCGGGTGCAGACCACACACCACAAGTGACGACGGCCTACAAAATGTAAATGTTTTCTGCCAATGAAATGATTAGCCTGTTGCAGTTGTATTCTATCAGTTGTCACTAATTACAACTATCATTTACCAAAAATCAGCTATCACTATGAACCACTACTAACCAGATTTTTATTGGAGGCCGTCGTCACTTGTGGATGTGGTCTGAATCCAACGCTCTTCTCATTTTTTGGAAGGGAGGGTACCTTTTCTGGCAACGACTGTTTTTCTCTAAAAACTCGCTGAAGTAGGGAAGAGTTATGCGGGATTTGATCCGCGGGCTATGCGCGCGATAGCGGCCCTTGCCATCATACCATCTACTTTCCAATAAATAATTACGAAATACCTACTATCAGTTTGAATACTATTTACAATCACACATTTTACAATATTACAAGCACAAACATTAAGAATATTCGAGTTTGTTTTCTTTGGGAACTACACGCACTCACCAGTGACTAAGATTGCTTTAAGACTCTTCAAGATGATTCCTTCTCAGGTCTGACACTTGTCTCCGTAGCTAGGATCATAAAATTTTCATTTGTGCCCA